AGTACTAGTCTGCAACATTATTAGCTAGAAGAAGTTGGGTAAGATGAGAACTGAAAAATATCCTTTAGATTAGCATTGAGGAGGTTGCTGGGAGACTTAAGGGGAACCATGTAAGTGGAGAAACAAAGCTGAGGCCAAATTATGTGTGTTTGAGTGTGTTTAGGGAGGGTAAAATGTGAGGGGTCTGTGAGAAAGTAGAAAGCACACTCTTTAGGAAACGTGAATGCAAACAGATGAGGAATGATGGGTTAGCTAGCAGAACATATGGAGTCAAGGTAGGATTTAACATGTAAGATGATGAAACATTTTTAAATTCAAGTTAGAAAATAAGGGTAGAGCAGGAGAGGTTCAAGATAACTTTTTGGGCATCACATCCTTTCTATAAACACATATGCTATATATACAACATAAAGAGGATATTCATAACTGAACAAGCCATGATGAATGATAGCTTGGAGAGGTGGAAAAAAAAACCCATTGTAGTTAAAAATTTTAAAATGGAAATGACATCACCTTTCAGGTTTTTGTTTTGTTTTGTTTTGTTTTTGAGATAGAGTCTCGCTCTATCTCACCCAGGCAGGAGTGCAGTGGGAAGATCATTGCTCACTGCAATTTCTGCCTCCTGGGCTCAAACAATTCTCCCACTTCAGACAGCTGAGTAGCTGGGACTACAGGCGCGTGCCACCACACCCAGCAAATTTTTGTACTTTTTTTTTTGTAGAGACAGAGTGTCCCTGCATTGCCCAGCCTAGTCTCAAATTCCTGGGCTCAAGTGATCTGCTTGCTTCAGCCTCTAAAATTGCTGGGATTATATAGGCATGAGCCACTATGCCTGGCTCTTTCATGTACTTTTAACTGAACTTTTTAACTGAACAAAAACCTGAGATTTGTTTTTAATGAGATAAAAATTTAAGATATAATTTAAAATGATTAAAAATAAAGTTCAGTTACATGCTGAAGTAAAAGGGTTGGTTTTTTTTTAGATTTCAGTCTATGTTGAAAATGGATGAAAACTATGAGCTCCTCATCCCAGAAAGAGATGAATTCCTTTTTTCATGTTCTTCCAGGGAGATTCAATGAAAGACCTCTGAGGCCTGCAACAGATACAAGATTAAGCATACAGTCTTTTCCAAGGACTTACCAATAGGATTCTTCTTTGGACTTCTCATGTTACCAGCCAGCAGGCTTCTTCTGCTTTCCTTGCTCTTAATCATAATTGAAGTTGTTGTGTCCTCAGTCCTAAGTCTTGAATACAAATACCAATTCCAATTCCTTACCCCCTCCCATCTTTCCTTGTACTCCAGTCTATAAAACAAAAATATTGGCCGGGCATGGTGGCTCACGCCTGTAATCCCAGCACTTTGGGAGGCTGAGGCGGGTGGATCATGATGTTAAGAGATCGAGACCATCCTGGCCAATATGGTGAAACCCTGTCTCTACTAAAATACAAAAATTAGCTGGGCATGGTGGCACGTGCCTGTAGTCCCAGCTACTCAGGAGGCTGAGGGAGGAGAATTGCTTGAACCTGGGAGGCGGAGGTTGAAGCTAGCTGAGATCGTGCCACTGTACTCCAGCCTGGCGCCTGGCGACAAAGCAAGACCCTGTTTAAAAAAAAAAAAAAAAAATTGAATGTGCCTTTTCTGGGGAGAAGAAAAAAATATATTATACTCAAATGCTACTGCCTCATATCTTGGCTCCACCACTTCCTAAATTACATAACCCTGGCCAAATACTTACCTCTCTGAGCTACCTATGTTTTATTCATCAACAGTATGAAACTATCAAATGTTTATTTCTTCCAACCCCACCAGGCCCAATCTAAGAATCAAGTATCATTCTTTCTCATAGGAACCTACCACCTGATAAGAAACTAGCAAATAATTCATTCTCATTCTCTCCCATCCCACCTGAATTATAAACTGCTTGAAGGCAAAGAACAAGGTTTCTACTTCATTCTTTACTTATCACATTTCTTCTAAACTCACCACAAGAGTTGCTGACTTAATTGAGTATTAATTCAGAATACAGGTCTAAATTTTATGCTAGCCTCCATCATTAATGGTCTCATCTATGTTTCTTCACAACTTTTCCATATTTCACCTTCAGATGAAATCACAAAAATCACAAATAGCTTTGTTAGTGGCTTAAAGCCTTGACAAATCATTACAAGGATATCTTCATAGGGATGCCTTGTTAAAAATGAATACCATACAGGTTATTTAACTACAAATTAACTCATAGATGTTATAATTTTTCTTAATCCTGAAGTTTTTAAAATTTGATTCTTATGAATATATAATATTAGTAAAGCCCTTTAGCATCAAGGACTAATCAGGTTAAAATCCCTCCAAGTTTTACAACTGGACTCTGCTCACTGTGCAGGATTACTGCTTTTAAAGAAGGGCATTGTTAAGATACTGCAAGTTATATTACCAAATTTTAAAACATCCTACAGATAGTATTAGCTAAAGATGGTTTTTTTGGGATAAGGTAATATATTAAATAATATGGAACTGATTATACATATTATATATCCCCTGCTTCAGCAAACCTTGAGTATAGAGTTTCTTTCAGTCAGACCTGAAATTAGGTCTCTAACTCATGTGGTTTCAATTAAGTTCTGTTAAAAATAGCTCATAATATAAGCATTTTCATTTTTAGCACTTCAGTAACTTCACTACCTTTTTGTGTTTTGTTTGTTTTTGTTTTTCTCTACATTGCTTTAGAGAAAGATTTACTACTTTTAATCATACTAACAATAAACTTTGAAGGAAAAAAAACATCAAAGGAAGTTACATTGTACCCCGGCATTGGCTTTCTTTTTTCCTTCTCAGACCTCTCAGGGATGAAGCCTCCTTTTGAATAGCTAAAACCATCTATTTTAGTGTACTGTCTTCTAATACTAGTGATTTGGTTCTTTATCTTATAATATAAATACACATATTTAAGAAGCATATGAATAATGTTTTTTTCTTAACTGATTAAAAGTAAATGACAAGAACCTTGACTGAATTTCAACACAGAGATATATCATAAATAACTACAGAATTTTTAATTTCACAAAATTTCAGGCAGACATTCTGCTTTACAGACTTTGACTTCACATTCCTATCTTCAAAGTACTGAAAATTCAGCAACAGCTGTTTTTTCATGCCATTTTTATTATGATATCTGGAGGAAAAAAACAAAACAATAGATTACTTCATATACAAGCAGTTGTCCAATAGTTATTAATAACTAGCCCACAGGGAGAGAGCACTTGATGCCCAGGCCACTCTAGTTTCACCCTATCAAGCCTTAGGAAACAAATCCAGAGGCCATTAAAAAAAAACAAAGAAAAAAAAGGAATATTTGGCTCATCCCTTCTAGGGCATGCGGAGGACATGTTCTCTTTGGAGAAACAAGGAGATCTACTCAATAACATTCTGGTGGAAAGACCAGGAAAAATCACTGTTAGTGGCCATCACAGGGTATTTAACCCCAGCCTTGTAACCTGGAGCACCTGATACAGTTGTGCTTTTCATCCCTGTCCTCAGTCACCACCCAGGAAGAAGCCTCTCGTATTCTCTCACCTGCCCTTCCTTTGTGTTTTCCTGCCCTTTGTTGCAGTTGAACCCAGGTTCCATCCCAAAGACAGGATTGATTCTGGGGCCTTTGCCCCCACATCTTGGGCCAAGAGATCAAGAGTGGAACCAGCTTTACCTAGTTAGCATTGTTACTTTTGTGCCATGATATACCTCATCCTGTGGTCTAATCAGCCTATCTCAATGGCTCTGAAATTTTGTTGCATCTAAAACTACCTAGGATTTTAAAATCCTGATATCTAGGCTATCCTCCATACCAATTAGATCAGGGACCCAAATATCAGACAACAGGAAAGTATGATGTGCAGCTAAGGTGAGAACCAGACTCCTGTATCTTTGCTATTCAAAGTGGGGTCCATGGACCAGTTACATCAGCATCACCTAAAAGGTTGTGAGAAATGTAGAATCCTTGGTCCCATTCTAAATGTACTGAATCAAAGTCTCCATTTTAACAAGATCCTCAAGTGATTCAAAAGCACATTAAACTTTTGGAAGTGCTGGTTATATTATACTATTCTCTACTCCTCCCTGTTTCCTGACCTCAGACACTGCTCATTCACTGAAGACTTTGGAAACTGGTTCACAGTCGTCCTCTCCACATGAACTTCTAGGTAACTTCCCAAGTGGGTAATCAGCCAACCCAACTATCTTGTCTCACCTACCGTTTACCTTCTCAGTCTTGAAATACACATCAAAGACCATGAGCTATATTTTCCTTCATCATCACCTACAGTGCATCATTTCTGACACTTTACAATACTAGAGACCCAAAAGTCATCTCTAACTACCATTCTTTCTTACTATCCTGCACCAACACCTATGTTAGTCACTAAGCTCTGTCAATTATACTAATAAAAGTTTTTTAGTTTAGACTGGTTCTCCTAAATCCTACAGAAATCCTAAATCAGATCCCTGAGGCAATGACCTAGGAATGTGCATCATTTATAAATTCATCTGGTGGCCTGAGTACCACATTTTGAGATACACTAGCTCAGATACTTATTTTTTCAACTTTGCTCACTGGAGCTTTTGCAAAACTCCCATTTAGCCTTTTTGCTTCTAGGGTCAAATTTCTTCTCAAATCACCCTTATACTTCTTGTGAGAATGAGCAAATAAAAAGTAAATTTGGGCCAGGTGTGGTGGTTCATGCTTGTAATCCCAGCACCCTGGGAGGCTAAGGTGAGCAGATCGCTTGAGCTCCAGAGTAAAAGACCAACCTGGGCATCGTGGTGAAACCCCACCTCTACAAAATATATAAAAATTAGGTGGGCCTGGTAGCACTTGCCTGTAGTACCAGCTACTTTGCAGGCTGAGACGGGGAAGAATCACTGGATCCTGGAAGGTAGAGGTGGCAGCAAGCTATGATCACACCACTGCACTCCAGTGTGGGCAACAGAGCAAGACTCTGTCCCAAACAAACAAACAAAAACACATATATACCTCCACTGGGCTTGTTTTATATATTTGACTTCCTCTATAAAACTATAAACTTTATGAAGATAACTATGTCTTTATCTCAATATCACCAGCAACTATTTCTAGCATATGACATCCAGACTCAATAAATATTTGCTGAATGAGTGAACTAAACAACTAGAGAACCTCATCTTTTCAATCTATAACCACATGATACTAAAACAAGAGACTTAAATGGCCTCCATGATGTCAGACTAGCTTGATTTCTTTATCCCCAAGGCATTTGCCGGCATATTTCATCTCTGTTTTTTCACTAGAACAATGGATCTGTGTCAAAGACTATACACACTTACCAATCACTGTTTACATGAGATGGTATAACCACATTTATAACTAACCAGTCAGCATAGTTTAGGCTTTTTGCAATTTCAAAAAGGGAAACAAAGAAAGCTAAGCTTGAGAAACTAACCTAACCTATAGAAAGAAATAATAATCATTGTATAATGAGTGATTATTATATGTCACACACTTTACAAAGATTATCTCAAGTCCTAGCAACAATTCATTGAGGTAATAACTACTATTTTACTAATTTTACAGATAGGAGGCTAAAATTCAGAAAGTTTAAGGAATTTGCTTATATGACAGTTAGGATTTGAACTTATGGATGTCCTGTTTTTTTTTTTTTGAGATGGAGTTTCGCTGTTGTTGCCCAGGATGGAATGCAATGGCGCAATCTCGGCTCACTGAAACCTCCACCTTCTGGGTTCAAGCCATTCTCCTGTCTCAGCTTCCTGAGTAGCTGGGATTACAGGTGTCTGCCACCATGTCCAGCTAATTTTGTATTTTTTACTACAGATGGGGTTTCTCCCTGTTGGTCAGGCTAGTCTCGAACTCTCAACCTCAGGTGATCTGCCCACCTCAGCCTCCCAAAGTGCTGGGATTACAGGCTTGAGCGACCACACCCAGCCAGATGTCCTATTCTTAAGTGATTTCTACTGCCATCTTTCAGATACTCAAATTAATATGTTTCTACTTTGTCATATATCTGTGTGACACTTCTGCATGCTATAATCTAGAAAATCAAACTTATCACTAAAGATAACATATGCATCTAGTTAAAGGCTGTGATTCTACAGTACTAGCCTGAGATATGAATTCATAACACATAAGTTATCATCTCTTCTAGAGCTCAAAATAAGATAAAAAATTTAATATTAATATAAGGTTAGCTACAGGTTTTGTCTGATTTATCAAACAGTATTATTAGACTGGAAGTCTTCTCTAACACCTTAAAGTTAAAAGTGTCCTCTCTTGGGTTTCTACAGTGTCTTGTTCTAGTTCCGATTCTGCAAGTAATAAGCTCTGTGAACTTGGGCAAGTCACTTAACCTGGCCAGGTCATTTTTGCTACATGTAAAATGAGTAAAACAGACAAATGAAATGGTTCTCAAATGTTTGTGTTTAATGGAATCACTTTCAAAATGCAGGTTCCTGTGCCATCTGTAGAGACTGTAGTTTACCAAGTCTGCAGTTATTTTGGTGGAGGTGGTCAGAAGGACCACGTATTGAGAAACCTTAGAGATGTTTTCTATAGCCTCCTTTATCTGGCTGTCACTATTCTGACTACTTACCCACACCACCTCCTCTATCACATCTCTTTGGTTCACTTTCACCATTGTTTTTTCTTTAATCAGCATAATGCTGGTTATTAATGAACAAAAAGCATACTGATCACAATCCTAGACTGAAATTCAAAAGTGAATTTCACCCTGTAGTCCTGATTAGAGTACTGCCAAAACAGCTAAAACTTTAAATGCCAGGACTAAAAATAGGCTGCTGCATGTTTAAAATAACATGATCACTAGTTAGCTTGGTGCTTTGCTATTTTTACTAAGGAAAGAGACAAGTGGCCAGAGGTTGAAAGGGAAACAGGAGGCAGCTGTTATGGTAAGAGCCTAGAAAGAGGCCAGGAGATGGCACCATTAGTTCATTAGTTCAAAAGTAATGGGGTGGGGAAGTGAGGGCAGTTATCTCTGTAAATTAAATTAAAAGACTTCAGTCTGAACACTCAAAAGAACCACCCACACACATTTTGGTTTAGATTTGTTGCATACTTTAAGCCCAGAATTTTGACATATCTAATGTCAGAAACTAATATGACAGGCCAAAAATCAAATTAAGAGTGTTTCTGGTCACTCTGTTGTCTAGCCTGGTGTGCAGTGGCGCAATCTTGGCTCACTGCAACCTCTGCCTCCCAGGTTCAAGCAATTCTCCCATCTCAGCCTCCCAAGTAGCTGGAATTAGAGGCACCCGCCACACACCCAGCTAATTTTTGTATTTTTAGTAGAGAGGGGGTTTTGCCATGTTGGCCAGGTTTGTCTCAAACTCCTGACCTCAGGTGATCCACCCACCTTGGTCTCCCAAAGTGCTAGGATTACAGCCATGAGCCATCATGTCTAGCCAACTTTTTCTTAAAGTATAACAAAGTATGTATATGCATAACAAATACATATATGTACAGCTTGATAGGTTGTCACAAACAGAACACACCTGTGTAAACAGCACTAAGATAATGAAACACAACATTACCAGCATTCTAGAATTCCTCCTTGAGATCCCTTTCAAGTAATGCCCCACTCCAACAAGGTGATCCACTCTGATGATTTTCATTATAGTTTAAGTTTTGCCAGGTTTTATACTATATGTAAATAATGTTAAATGCACTCAACCATGTTTGGCACCCTTTGCTAAATGCATCTTTATGTTTGTAATTGTGTATCTAGCATGCAATATGTAACAGTTGCATCTCACTTTATATTATTGATTTTCACTGCTATATAGTACTCTAATGAATGAATATACCATAGTTTACTTATTCATTTTACTTAATGGGCATTTAGATAGTTTCCAGCTTGAGGCTATCATGAAAATTGATGCTATTAATATTCTGGTATATATATTTTTGATGACACACATATACATTACAGTTGGGTATATTCCTACAAATGGAAACGGTGGGTCTCCAAAGGCCTTCCATCTTTGTAATTTCCAGGGGTCCAGTGGTATAAGGGACATCCCTATTGAGGTGAGGAATAAGGTGTTGCCTCTGGCACCTCCTATAACCAAAAGGGAGATACAATGCCTAGTCAGCTTTTTTTGATTTTGGAGTTAACATATTTCTCATTTGGGTGTACCACTCCAGCCCACTCACTGAGTGACTTAAAAATCTGCCAGATTTGAAGAGAGGCCCAGAACAAGAGAATGCTCTGCAATAGGTCCAGGCTACTATGGAGATGCTCTGACAATTATGCCAAATGATCCAGCAGCTCCAACAGTGCTTGAAGTGTTAGTGGCAGATAGAGATGCTGTTTGGACCTTTTGGCAGGTCCCTGCAGGTGAATCACAAGGTGAACATTTAGGATTTGAGCAAAGCCCTTCCATCCTCAGTGGAAAATTACTCTTTTGAGAAACAGCTTTTAGCCTATTGCCAGACTTTAGTAGCCACTAAACATTTAACCAAAGGCCATCAAGTTACCATGTGACCCACACTGCCCATCATGAACTATGTGTTGTCTGACCTACCAAGTCATAAAGTTGGTGGTAATGGCTGTACTCCATTATCAAATGGAAATGGTTTACGTAAGATTAAGCTTGAGCAGGCCCTGAAGTCGTAAGTAAATAGCATGAGGAAGTGACCCAAATGTCTATGGCCCCCACCCTTACTACATTACCTTTTCTCTTACTACCTGCTCTTAATATGACAAGAGGAATTCTCTACAGTTGACTGAGAAAGAGAAAACTCATGTTTGATTTACAAATGGTTCTCTACAATATGCAGGTACTGCCTAAAAGTGTACAGTTAGAGCACCTACATCTTCTTTCTGGGACATCCCTAAAGGAAATTGGTACAGATAAGTCCCCCCATGGACAGAACTGAGAGGAGTGCACCTGGTTGTTGAAAGGAGAAATGGCGAGGTGTTTAACTATATTCTAGAGTGGTAGCCAATGATTTGGCTGTAGGGTTAGGGACTTGGAAAGAACATTGCATTAGTCAGGGTTCCCTAGAAGGACAGAACTTATAGGATATATATACACAAAGAGGAGTTTATTAAGGAGTATTAACTCACATGAACACAGAGTCCCACAGTAGGCCACCTGCAAGAAAGCCAGTCTGAGTCCCAAAGCTGAACAACTTAGAATCCGATGTTAGAGGGCAGGAAGCATCCAGCTTGGAAGAAAGATGTAGGCTGGGAGGCTAAGCCAGTCTAATCTTTTCACATTCTACTTCCTGCTTTTCATTCTGGCACAATGGCAGCTGATTAGATAGATGGTGCCCACCAAATTGAGGATGGGTCTGCCTCTCCCAGTCCACTGACTGAAATGTTAATCTCCTCACAGACACACCCAGGAACAATACTTTGCATCCTTCAATCCAATCAAGTTGACACTCAGTAATCCATCAAAAGTGGGCTGAAAAATTTGGGAGGCATTGGACAGACCTTTCTTTTTTTTTTTTTGAGACAGGATCTCACTCTTTTCCTTAGGCTGTAGTACAGTGGAATGATTACAGCTTACAGCAGCCTCCATCTCCCCAGGCTCAGGTGATCCTCCCACCTCAGCCTCCCAAGTGGCTAGAACTACAAGAGTACACTACCACACCTAATTTTTGTATTTTTTTGAAGAGACAGGATTTCACAATGTTGCCCAGGCTGGTCTCAAACTCTTGGGCTCAAACGATTCACTCATCTCAACTTCCCAAAGTGGTGGAATTACAAGCATGAGCCATTGCACCCAGCCAGGACAGACCTCTCTCGGGGGGGAGGAAATGAAGATGTATCCCATAAAATTTCACCAAAAGGTGACCTTAGCAGAGGAGGATTTTAATAATAAAGGGAATATAGGATAATCAAGTCTGTAGAATCCAGTCAGTCTCTCCCAGCCACCTCTGTCAAAACAGGGCTGGGGAAAGAGTCTAACTAGTATCCTCTTTGTTCATGGCTCATGAGCAAAGTATCCATAGTGGCAAGAATAGAGTTCATACATAGGCTCAGCAATATGGATTTCCATTACCCAAGGCCAACCTGGATGCCACTGCTGGAATTAGGTGTGGTGGTGTACTCTTGTAGTTCTAGCCACTTGGGAGGCTGAGGTGGGAGGATCACCTGAGCCTGGGGAGATGGAGGCTGCTGTAAGCTGTAATCACTCCACTGCACTACAGCCTAAGGAAAAGAGTGAGATCTTGTCTCAAAAAAAAAAAGAAAGGTCTGTCCAATGCCTCCCAGCAGTGGCATCCAGGTTGCTGAGTGCCCAACCTATCAGCAGCAGACAACAACACTGACTCCCCAGTATGGCACTATTCATCTAGGTGCTCAGTCAGCTTTGTGGTTGATTACACTGAACTACTTTCATCATGGAAGGAGTAGCATTTTGTTATTACTCGAACAGACATTCAATACAAATTTTCGTTCCTCATACAAAATTTTGCCCAAATTGACATCCATGGACTCATGGAATGCTTTACCCATGGTCATGATATTTCATACAACATTGCCTCTGATCAAGGAACTCACTTCACAGCAAAAGAATTGCAGTATAGGTCCTTACTCCTGGAATTCGCTGGTCTACGTTCCCTATCATGCTAAAGCGGCTGTCCAAATAGGATAGTGGGATGGCCTTTTGAAGAGGCAATTACAGTATCAGCTGGGGGAAATAACTTGCAGGCTAGGGCAAAGTTCTCCAGAAGGCTATATATATGCTCTGAATCAGCATCCAATAAATGGTACCTTTTTCCCCTCTGTAGCCAGGAATCAAGGGATAGAAACAAAAGTGGCACCATGCATTATTAATTCACTAGCAAAATTTATTCTTCCTGGTCTCATAATTTGATGCTCCACTGGCTTAGAGGTCTTAGTTCCAAAGGGAGGAATTCCTCCACCAGGATATTGATTCCATTAAACTGGAAGTTAAGACTGCTCCCACTTTGGAGTCAATAGGCTAAGGGGCTTACAGTGTTGTCTGGGGTGACTGATCCGGACTACCAAGGGGAATCTGAACTACTACTCCACAATGATGGTAAGGAAGAATATGTCTGGAGATCTCTTAGGGTATCTGTTAATTTTATCACACCCTGTGATTAAGGTTAATGGAAAACTACAATAACCCAATCCAGGAAGGACTACTAAAGGCCCAGATGCTCAGAAATAAAGGTTTGTGTTACCCAGCAGATAACCATGACCACTGGAAGTGCTTGCTGAAGGCAAAAGGAATATGGCATGGGTAGTGGAAGAAGGAGTTATAAATACCTGCTATGATCACTTGATTAGTCAGGCAAATAGCCTTGTTTTTTTTCCCTCTCTTATCCCCTTATCATATAATATATTAATAATAGTTAACTTTCTATCACAGTTTTTAAGTTACAGGATAGCAAGAAGGGTGAACATTGACCAAAACTTTGTATCCTCTTCTGGAGAAAGAGTTAGCACATTTTCAGTTTTATGCAGGACAACTGTAGCATGTTAGGCAAAAATATGACTTTATTATTGTCTTTATTTGGAGATTAAATATGGTTTAAGGAGATGCAAATGGATGAGTAGTTGATAAGGAATGCACTGTGATGGTTAGTTGTATGTGACAACTTGCCTAAGATATATTATACAATTATTCAGTCAAACTAATCGAAGTGTTGCTGCAAAGGTATTTTGTAGATGTGGTTAATATCTATAATAAACTTTATATGAACTTTAAGGAGATGATCCCTGATAATGTAGGTAGACCTCATCCAATCAGTTGAAAGGCCTTAAGAGCAAATCTTAAAAAGTTTATCTGAACAAGAAGAAATCTGTGTGTAAACTGCATCATCAGCTCCTGCCCTAGAGTTTCCAGCCTTCTGTACAGTTTGCAAACTTGCCCAGCTAGACTTGTACAATTCCATAACTGTATACGTCGATTCCTTGTTTTGTTCTCTCTAGAATGGTAATTGGCATACATTAGGCCTTATTCTATCCTCTATAACTTTCAACCTCTCTTTAATATTTTCCACATCTTATTGGCTCTTTTTCTTTGGTAGAATTCTGACAAATACAGGATCTTGCTATTCCCTACCACTATGCTGATGTTATCAGAGATAGAGATAGAAAGAAGTCCATTACATTCTTTCTCCTTGAAAACTTCATAACCTATGGAATATGAAATATGAAAAGTCAGCACTGTAAATTAGGTCAGGTTGCAATATATTATTGTGATAGTCAATTTTAGATATCAATTTGGCTGGAACAAGGGATACTCAGAAAGCTAGTAAAGCATTATTTCTGAGTAGATCTGTTTCTGTGAGGATGTTTCCAGAAAAGAATGGCATTTGAATCAGTAGACTGAACAAAGAAGATCTGCCCTCACTCAAAGTGATCAGGTACCATCCAATTGGTTGAGGACCAGAATAGAAAAGGCAGAAAAGGCTGGGCGCAGTGGCTCACACCTGTAATCCTCAGCACTTTGGGAGGCTGAGGCGGGTGGATCACGAGGTCAAGAGATTGAGCCCATCCTGGCCAACATGGTGAAACCCCATTTCTACTAAAAATACAAAAATTAGCTGGTGTGGTGCCGTGTGCCTAGAGTCCCAGCTACTTGAGAGGCTGAGGCAGGAGAATTGCTTGAACCAAGGAGGCAGAGGTTGCAGTAAGCTGAGATCGTACCACTGCACTCCAGCCTATCGAAAGAGCAAGACTCCATCTCAAGAAAAAAAAAAAGAAAAAGAAAAGAAAAATAAAGAAAGAAAAGGCAGAAAAAGGCAAATTTGCTCTCTCTTCTGGAGCAAGGACATCCATCTTCTCTTGCCCTTGGACATCAGAACTCCAAGTTCTCTGGCCTTTGGATTCTGGGAGTTGCATCACAACTCCCCAGTTTCTAAGCCCCCTGGACTTGGACTTAGCGATGCCACTAGCCTCTCTGGTTCTACAGCTAGCAGATGGCACGTCATGGAACTTTTCAGCCTCCATAACCACATTAGCCAATTCTCATTAAAAATCCCTTCACATATCTCTATCTATCTCCTTTTGGTTCTGTTTTTCTGGAGAATGCCAACAAATATAATTATTAAGTATCAAATGAGTAGCACTGAATTGAATATTCAAGGAACTTGTTAAAAAAGGAGAGATCTCTATAGACTTAGAGAATGATCAGGGCAGGCACTGTGGAGGAAACAAGTACAAGAATTAAGAGTAGACATCTTGGTTGAATTGAAGTTGTACATATCTAACTAAGGTTCAATTGCTTCATTGGCTGTTTACTCATAAAAATTCCAAAGTGCCACTGAGTCATTAGACATTCTGCCTGGGCCGGGCGTGGTGGCTCAAGCCTGTAATCCCAACACTTTGGGAGGCCGAGGAGGGTGGATCATGAGGTCAAGAGATCGAGACCAACCTGGTCAACATGGTGAAACCCCATCTCTACTAAAAATACAAAAAATTAGCTGGGCATGGTGGTGCGTGCCTGTAATCCCAGCTACTCAGGAGGCTGAGGCAGGAGAATTGCCTGAATCCAGGAGGCGGAGGTTGCGGTGAGCCGAGATCATGCCATTGTACTCCAGCCTGGGTAACAAGAGCAAAACTCCGTCTCAAAAGAAAAAAAAAAAAAAGACGTTCTGCCTGAAGCATAGTGAGGGGAGATGTTAAGCCTTCTAAACTGAAAAAAACAACAACACTGCAAATGATGCACTTGGATTTAGCAGGCTTAAAAGATTGAATTCCTCTCTACCACTTGGAAGAAATATGATGTTGAACAAACTGCATACTACTTTAAATCTCAGAGTCTTTATATGTAATATGGGAATAACAGTACATATCTCATCTATTATAAAGTCATAGTGAGAAATAAATGAAATATAAGGTTCTTAGCACAGTGCCTTTCACAGAGGAAGTACTTAACCAATACGAGGTGAATGCAAAAACATATCCACATCTCTAAAAAGAATGCAACTGAAATTGAAACCAAAACAATACAAAATTTCACATAATTGTAAAAGGAAGTATCCTGGATAGATTTTACATCAGTGTTATAAGCTAATTTTTCAAAAGATAAAATATCTGTCTTAAAAAAAATTATTTTACCCTGGTTCCAAAATCTGACCAGACATTTTTTTTTTTAAATAAAGAGACAGGGTCTCTCTCTGTCACTCAGGCTGGGTGAACTGATGATAGCTCATCATAACCTTGAACTCCTAAGTTCAACTAATCCTCCTGCCTCAGCTATCCAAAGTGCTGGGATTATAGGCAGGAGCCACGAGTCTACCCCTGACCAGGCTTTTATAATTTTACCATTCCCACTTTGTGCAAGAACTACTGGAATGCAATTTATAACTGAATTTCCTGTGTATATAAGGCATTTATAATGAAAAAAATGATATCATTCAAAAAGTATGCTCTGCATTCATACTACAGTACCTTGAGGGATATCCTTAGGAAAAGAATATTTCTTCTTCTTTACAATAACACCTTTATTTTTCACTTGTCTAGTTCCTGGTGATTCTCTAATAATACAACATATTTCTGATGTATTTGCAGGAAACTGAAAAATAAAAAAGGCAGATATTGCATAATTCCTCCAAATATTACACTTGTATATTGCTTTATTTCAAATGCAACTAGTCTCAATATCTGTATTTCTTAGATATTAATAACAGCAAGCATTTATTAAATGCTTACTCCACTACCAACAGTAATTGGTTTTATAACATATGTTCATTTAATATTCACAAAGACCAAGCAAGGCAGATTATATTACCTACATTTTATAAATGAGAAAACTTTCAGAGAGATTAATTGACTTACTTAAGGATAGGGAGCAAGTAATGGTAGAGTTGAGATTCAAGCATGCTCAAGTGAGAGAGAAAATTTGCATGTTTTATTGAGTTAAAACACAAATTTAAAGTTAACTGAGTTAAACACTAAATTCCTTGATTTTTCAAATCAGGTAATTTTGACAATTTTCCATAATAAAGAAATACTGGCCAGGCACAGTGGCTTATGCCTGTAATTCCAATACTTTGAGAGGGACTCTTTGAGGCCAGGAGGATGAGAGAGAGAGAGAGAGAAAGAGAGAGAGAGAGAGAGAGAGAAACACCATATCTTTCAGAAGTGATATATCTTCTTTTTCAGAATTCAGAAGCAGAGATGTATTTATCAAGAGTTTTTATTATTTTAAATAAAGACTGTATAGAAACTTCTTATGTAATTTTTGTTTTTTTGTGACAGGGTCTCGTTCTGTTGCCCACACTGGAGTCCAGTGGCATGACCTCTGCTCACTGCAACCTCTGCCTCCCAAGTTCAAGTGATTTTCATGCCTCAGACTCTCGAGTACCTAAAACTACAGGTGTGTGCCACTACATCCTGCTAATTTTTTTTTTTTTTTTTTTTTTGAGACAGAGTTTCGCTTGTTACCCAGGCTGGAGTGCAATGGCGCGATCTCGGCTCACCGCAACCTCCGCCTCCTGGGTTCAGGCAATTCTCCTGCCTCAGCCTCCTGAGAAGCTGGGATTACAGGCATGCGCCACCATGCCCAGATAATTTTTTGTATCTTTAGTAGAGATGGGGTTTCACCATGTTGACCAGGATGGTCTCGATATCTTGACTGTAATCCCAAAGTGCTGGGATTACAGGCTTGAGCCCCGCGCCCGGCCCATCCTGCTAATTTTTATGTGTTTAGTAGAGACAATATATATTTTTTTCATTTTTAAGTTTCATAAGTACATAGTAGGTATAAATATTTATGCAGTACATGAGATATTTTGGTACAGAAATGCAATGCATAATAATCACATCTATAGAAAATTGGGTATCCATCCCCTCATTGTTTGTATTACAAACAATCCAATTATACTCTTTTAGTTACTTTTAAATGTACAATTTAAAATACCAGACTTTTATAATTTTACTGTTTCCACTTTGTGCAAGAACTCTAAGAATACAATTTATAACTGAATTTCCTGTGTACACAAGGCAATTTCCTATAGTGCTACCAAATACTAGGTCTTATTCATTCTTTCTATTGTTTTGTACCCATTAAACATCCCCAACTTCCCCCACCAACCCCCACCCCTAGCACCTAGCTATCCTTCACAGTGTCTGGTAACTATCCTTCTATTCTCTATCTCCATGAATTCAATTGTTTTGATTTTTAGATCCTACAAATAAGTGAGAACAAGTGATGTCTGTCTTTCCGTGCCTGGCTTATTTACCTTAATATAATGACCCCCAGTTCTGTCCATGTTGTTGCAAATCACAGGATCTCATTCATTTTTATGGCTGAATAGTACTTCATTGTGTATAAGTACCATATTTTGTTTACCCATTCATCTGTTGGTGGACACTTAGGTTGCTTTCAAATCTTGGCTATTGTGAACAGTGCTGCAACAAACATGGGAGTGCAGATATCTCTTTGGTATACAGATAAACATGGGAGTGCAGATATCTCTCTGATATACTTTCTTTTGGGTACATACCCAGCAGTGGGATTGCTGGATCATATGGTAGCTCTATTTTTAGTTTGCTTGTTTGATTTTTTTGCCAAGACAGAGTCTTGCTCTGTTGCCCAGGCTGGAGTGCAGTGGCACAATCTTGGCTCAATGCAACCTCCACCTCCTGTATTCAGGCAATTCTCCTGCCTAGCCTCCCAAGTAGCTGGGATTACAGGTGAGCACTACCATGCTCAGCTAATTTTTGTAGTTTTAGTAGAGACAGGGTTTCACCATGTTGGCCAACCTGGTCTCAAACTCCTGACCCCCTCATCCACCCCCCTTGTCCTCCCAAAGTGCTGCAATTACAGGCATGAGCCACTGTGCCCAGGCTTTTTTTTAGTTTTCTGAGGAACCTCCAAACAGTTCTCCATAGTGGTTGTACTAATTGACAGTCCCACCAACAGTTTTAATAAGAGTTTCCTTTCTGTACATCCTCACTAGCAACTGTTATTGCCTGAGATTTGGATAAAAGTCATTTTGACTATGGTGAAATAATATCTCACTGCACTTTTGATTTGCATTTCTCTGATGGTCAGTGATGTTGAACACTTTTTCATATGCCTTTTTGCTATTTGTATGTTTCCTTTTGAGAAATGTCTTTTGAAATCTTTTCCCCATTTTTGAGTGGGGTTATTAGATCGTTTCCAACAGAGGTGTTTGAGCCCCTGGTTATTAATCCCTTGCCAGATGGGTAGTTTGCAAATATTTTTTTCTCTTTCTGTGGGTTGTCTCTTCATGTTGTTGATTGTTTCCTTTGCTGTGCAGAAGCATTTTAACTTGACATGATCCTATTTGTGTATTTTGCTTTGATTGCCTGTGCTAAAGGAGTATTATTCAATAAGTATTTCCCCAATGTTTCCTTGCAGTAGTGTCATAGTTTGAGGTCTTAAAGTATTTAATCCATTTAATTTTTTGTATAAGGTAAGAGGTAAGGATCAACTTTCACTCTTCTGCATATAAATATCCACTTTTCCCAGCATTATTTACTGAAGAGACTTGTCTTTTGTCTCTTGTCCTTGGTACCATTACAGAAAATGAGCTTACTGTAGATGTGCAAATTTATTCTAAGTTCCCTATTATCGCCAGCTGGTCCCACCTTTGACAAGTGGGGATTACTATAATCCAAGGTGAGATTTGGGTGGGAACATAGAGACAAACCATATCAATAGCTTTGGCTATTCTGGATCTTTTGTGACTGCATATAAGTTTCAGAATTGTTTTTCCTATTTCTGTGAAGAATGTCATTGGTATTTTTATAGGGATTCCATTAAATTTTTTACATTGCATTGAGTAATATGGTTTTTTTTATAATATTGACTCTTCTAATCTATGAACATGAAATATATTTCAATTTCTTGGTGTCCTCTCCAATTTCCTTCATGTTTTATAGTTTTCATTGTACAGATCTTTCACTTCCTTGGTTAAGTACATTCCAGGATATTTATTTTATCTGTGGCTATTGTAAAAGTGATTACCTTTTAAATTTCTTTTTAAGATTGTTCACTGTTGGCATATAGAAATGCTACTGATTTTGGTATGTTGATTGTGTATCCAGCAACTTTCCTGAATTTATTTATCAGTTCCAATAACTTTTTGGTGGAATTTTTGGGTTTTTCCAAGTATAAGATCACATTATCTGTATACAAAGATAATTTGACTTCTTCCTTTCCAATTTCGATGCCCTTTATTTCTTTCTCTTGTCTGACTCCTCTAGCTAGGACTTCCAACACTATGTTGAATAACGATGGGGAAAGTGAGCATCCTTATCTTGTTCCAGGTTTAATAAGAAAGGCTTTCAGTTTTTTTCTCCTGCAGTATTATACTAGCTGTGCATCTGTCATGTATGGCTTTTATTATGTTTGACAGAGCAGAAGCACCATCATCTTGCACAAACACTGCCACTGTAAGTTCCAGCTCCCTTTCTAGCCTCATGCATTTCAAGGAAATCACTTCTAACTACAAGCAGTAAGAAAGAGCAGACAGTAAAACACAGCTAAGACAGCTCTGGCACAGAGGAAGGTGAGTGAAGATCTCTTGGGTAATTACCAAACTTCATACAATGGGCCACAGTAAAACAGTGGAAGAATCATTACATTCTCTTACTAAACTAACCCCTTTATCTTTATGTAATAACCTGCTTTGTCTTTTATTACAGTTTTTGCCATTAAATCTGTTTTGTTTAAGTATAGCTTACTGCTCTTTTTTGGTTTCTATTGGCATAAAATATCTTTTTACATCCCTTTATTTTCAGTTTGTGTGTATCTTTATAGCTAAAGTGTGCTTCTTGTAGGCAACAGATCACTGGATCTTGTTTTTCTTTTTAATCTATTCATCCACTCTATGTCTTTTCATTGGAGAGTTTAATCCATTTACATTCAATGTCATTATTGATAAATTAGGGATTTACTTCTGCAATTTTATTATTTGTTTTCTGGTAGACTGATGGTCTTCTCTTTATTTTTCCTTCCTTCCTGCCTTTGTTTTAGTGAAGATGATTTTCTCTTGCAGTACACTTCAGTTACTTGCCTTTTAATTTTTGTGTAACCATTATATGTTTTTTGATTTGTGATTACCATAAAGCTTGCAAATATTATAACTTATTATTTTGAACTGATGACAAGTTAAAACTGATTTGCAAAACATGCAAAAGACTATGAAAACTTGATACTTGATGGGGAAGATCCAAGATGACCATTTAGGAACAGCTCAGGATTGCAGCTCCCAGTAAAAGTGCAGAGGGTAAGTAAATGCCACATTTCCAGATGGATTTGTATTGCCCACAGACCAGGAGATTCCCAGGTGGAGGAGGCCCATGGGTGGCCAGCGCAGCTGTTTTGGCCAGCACAGCTGTTTTGGCCAGCGTGGCTGCTTTGTCTGCACCCCTGTGTGGCGGTTCTCTGTACAAAATACACTGGTCCAGGTGCCCTTTTAGCTGGCAATTCGAGCCCTGGGAAGTCACCCATTCATCTGATTATAAATGAGAATGAACAGGGGGCCAGGCCACGAGATTCCTGGGCAAAGAAAGTGCCACGAATCTCAGTGCTGCTGTTTA